TTCTCCCTGCACAATCCATAGTATCTTGCTGCTTGCTTGTTTATGCAATCTTATCCTCTTATCTTTAAACATTTTATAGTTACTATACATTCTGATCTAATCATTGCATTTCCCAGCACCTGGGCTGTTTGAACATTTTGTTTCTGCTCCCTGCTGCCTGTCACTCAGGTGCTCAATTGTGAGTTTACACTGTGCTGAACAGATCTGTGAAATCATGAGAGTCTAAATGGCCATGGCGTTCCTTCAGGAGGACTTATATTTGCTTCATCAAAAGCCAGGTGCTGGCTGCCTCTCACTTTTCCAGACTTGGTAAACACCTTTTAGATTCTCTGGCTTGTTCAGGGTGTTTCAGCTTGACCTTCTGACCTCATTGCCAGCACCAGACTTACTGCAGTGTCAAGACCATCACCTGTCCTCAGGGGAACCCCATCCTCGTATATGTTTATCACAGATTGATCTGTTTGTATGTATGGGTAACTATAGATTTGTAGATATTTTATAATTGCTTTCTTTCTATTTATAATTGCTTTCTTGGCTGTTTCCTCATGCTTCTAGGCTCACTTCTGGTGAGCTCAGTAACAAGAATTATGTTTTATTAAGCACTTAGCCATTTTATCATGGAAGGGCAGGCCTGCATCTTGCAGAGCATCTTGTCTGCCCTTTTTGTGGGAACAGGGGTGTCCCCCTCAGTTACCCTCCTCCTCAGGGCACCCTCTGGACCCTGCCTCATGAGCATGACAAAAAGAATCCATCTCCTCCTCCTCGCCCTGTCTTCCCTCTGCTCCACTGCCCAGTTTTATTGTTTTTCACAGTGATTATCTTTTTACCTTTAAAAGCTCTCGTATCTCAGTTCTTTTATTTATATTTTATTCTTCTCTTCTCCCACCTAGAAAAGATAAAGAAATTGGTGTATACAAGCATGCAACTTCCTTCTGCTGCCATCCACCACATTCTGCTTTGTTTTCCAGTCGGTTTTTCTTTCTACCATTTCTGCTTTGTCTGTATTTCTGTTGTGTGCATTCTGTTCTTTATCTTCAATCCTCACATTGATTTCAATCAACACTTGGATCCTTCTTCCCTACTAGTATTTTCCCATGAGTTCTCCAGCTAGTTCTTAATTGACTGAAGTTCATTCTATGGTATTTTCTCTAAAAAGGATCTAAGTAATTAAAAGTTCAAAAATGTTTTCAGTTACCAAAATTCTTGAGTAACAGTTTAGTTGATGCAAGCTGAGAATGCTCCAATGAAATATTTGAAATGCTTCTTACAGATTTTGGATTGTTTGTGGGGGAGAAGATTAGGGAATATTTGATGTGAAGGAGATGTCATGCAGGTGGGACCCAAGTCTAAACATGAAATTCATTTATGTTTCATATATACTTTATACACATAGCCTGAAGGTAATTTCACACAATATTTTCAGTGTGCCTGTGTTTTGACTTCAGCCTGTCACATGAAGTCAGGTGTGAAATTTTCTACTTGTATTGTCATGTTGTAACTCAAGAAATTTTAGATTCCCAGATTAGGGATGTTCTTTATCTGAACTTATCTGAACTTCTTGGGTCACATGGTCTTTCTTTGTGACTCTATCACCATTTCCCTACCACCTCAGGGATGCTGCTTCCACAGAGATACCTATAAACAGCCTGGTGTCTTTTCCCATTACCTGCAACTTGATCCATTTTCCTGGCTGCCTAAAGGTTTTTTTCCTTTATCTTTGGATTATAATAACTTTATCAGGACATGCTTCTAGGTTCGTGGTTCTTTGTCATTTTACTTGGAACAAAACTTTCCTTTTCAATCTGAAACTGAGATCTTTCATTTCAGTACAGGTTCTTGAATTCATACTCAAATACCCTTTCTGCTGCATTATTTCAGTTCTTTTCTTTAGGATGCCTGTGATTCTGAGAGTCAGCTTGGGCTCTTTGACCACCACAGATCACCTGCTAGGGCTGTTGTGAAGCTCAGGATGATGGGAATCAGGGGACTTTGTCATTTGTAAAGAATAATGAATGAAAGCTGTCAATCTAGAAAACATCAATGTGACAGGTGATCATGTTGTCTGTCCTACTTGTCCATTAGTGAAAATGAATCCCAGCCAGGGTGACTTCTTGGCTTGGATACACAGGACAATGCTGGTGGCCAACCCTGGGTCAGAGGCTACACTAAAGTCTCCTTTCTGCCCTTCCCTCTTTTCTTTGGCTTTAAACTGAATCCAAAAGTGATCACTATCGTGATTTTCAACACCGTAGTCTTGTCTTTGAACTTTATATATATGAAATTGTGCTTTATTCCATCTTGCTAATATGCAGTAATGTATCTTTTCTGTTGTTGATGGGCATTTGGGTAGTTTCACACTTGAGACTAAAACAAATATTGCTGGAATGAACATTCTTGACAGTGTCTTTGAGGGACACATACACAGGTTTCTTTTCAGTACATATTTAGTATTGGAATTGGTCAGTAGTAGAATGCTCATGTCTTCAACTTTAGTGAATACTGCCAAAGAATTTTCTAAAGTTAGAGTCTTGCCATCAGTACAGAGAGTTCCTTTTGGGCCATATCCTTATTAATACTTGGAATTCTCTTGTTCATTCTAGCCTTTCTGGTGGTGTGCAGAGATGGATGAGATGGATGGATGGGTGGATGATGACAAAAGAGATTGGCTACATTTTCGTATGTTTACCGGCCACTTAAATATCCTCTTTTGTGAAATGCCTGTTCAAGTCTTTTACCCATTTTTCAACTGGGTCTTTTTTTATGACCTGAATTTTTGCTTTGTTTTGTTATTTTTTTAATTTTTATTTATTTATTTTTATTTAATTCTTTTCTTGGTACATTGTAGGTATACAACACAATTACATTTCTCATTGGGAATTGTACCTTTACATAATGCATCTTGGTTCTTATTTTTTCCCCATTCCTAGCCCTCCCTTCACACCCTCCACCCTTCCCTGTTTACAAAGCCTTTATTTCCATTTTTTTTGTTTTGTTATTTAATGTATTCTAGATACAAACATTTTGCTGGTTCTATGTTATGAATATCGTCCCCATGTATTGAAATATCTTCTCTCACTTATTTTGATAAACAAAAGTTCTTAATTTTAATGGACTATAATTCATTATTTTTTTCCTCCGTGTACTGTTTGTATTGTTGAGGAAATCTCTACCTAACCCCATTGTCCTCCTCTCTGATGATTAGAAAAGTTTTATGAGAAAACACTGTCTATAAAATGCATAATAAATGGCTCACACCACCTCCTTCCTCTCTTTCCTCATGTGGCTGTCCTCCTAATCCCAAGTACTCCTACCTCATAAATTCCTCTCCCGAGTCAGCCTTGCCTCCTGAACATGTGTCCATGCATAGATGCAGCACTTTTGAAGAAATGTGAGGTCAAAGTGCTAGGAATCAAATATTTAATGAGGTGCAGTCCGTCTTTATAGGACCAGCTGTGCTGCACTCACTGCTCTCATCCTTTTACCATTCCACCGAGAGCTGAACAGTAATGGGAATGTGTAGACTTTTCTGACCCAAATGTACAGTATTCCACTTGAATCATCAGCTTCTTTAAGGGCACAAGTCGGCTTCTTTATACTTGAAAAATGAGAAAGAGCTGTGGGCTTTGCTCAGCTCGTTTTAAAAGCACCCTCCAACTCTGTTTTCCTCCCCTTTCTCTGCTTTATTTTTGTCCCTTGGACCTCTAAACATTTTTGACTGGAGACAGCACAGTTGCACATCTATTCTACGCAGATGTTTGAGATTGCTTGGATCAGCAGCCCCGTAAACACTCTTTGCCAGACACAGAGACAGTGCTCTGCCACACCAGTGGCCTTTGCACCTTCACCTTGCCCCAGGGACACCAGCAGATCCCCTGGCCACGCCCTGGAGGTGAGGTCTCCCCACTGCAGCTCGGCCTCGAAGACATGATTGGGTCTGGCATCCAGGAAGCCCTATGTCTTTAAAAGCTCCTTAAGTACATCTGTTTCCAATTCTTAGGCCGTGAGGCAAGGATTTGGGTGCAAGTAGTTTATCTGGGAAGCAATCCCGGGAAGTACTGTGAGGAGGCGGTTGGGGGAAGGAGGCAAGAAAGGTGCGTTGCTGGGTGGGTGACTGTCATGGGCAGCAGGGCCACCCTGCCAGGACCCTCTGCAGGAACATGCAGAGCATGCCTCGGGGTCATCTCCCCAGGCAGGACAGCAGTCATCCAGCTCCCACCGCACAGGTTGATGGTGCTGTCTACACCCGCATCCTTTGGGGCAGGACTCTGGCCATGTCTGCTTCAGTGATTTTGATTAATTGTTTCATTCTAAGCACTTTTTCATGTTCAAATTTCTTATTAATACAGTTGGGAGTCTGTGTTTTTAAATGCCTGTTCTTGCTATTTTAATTGTACATTCATGAATGTTGCAAAATTCTCTAGGTGAAATACTGTAAGACATTATGCACAGCTGGGCTAGAAACCTGGCGAGGAAAATGGAACGCTGCTTCTGTAACCCTGCAAGGGCTGAGCCCTTCATTGTCCTTTGAGATCTCACTCCCAGGCCTCATGAAGGCTGCATACGCTTCTGCGCTGCAGAGCTGCTTCTTCCACCAAACTCTCTCTGACGGGGTTTAGTTAGACCCATATCTTGTGCACCCCCAGCAACCTGTAGATATTTGCCTTGTCCCTCACTACATTAAATGAAAAGGAGACTGTTTACAAATAGCTCCTGGGAGCAGGGGCTGTTACCCTGTCACTTCCTAGGCCTCCAGTGCTGGATTCTGGATCGGCTAAATTCAGTCCTTTAAGATAAGCCCTCCAAGGAGTCAATGTTAGGAATTTCATTGCACCAAATGAACCAGGAGAAATGATGTTCCTATTCTCTGGACATCAAGACTCATCCTTTCCCCACATTTCAAATTCCACATCTAAACACAGATAGCCCCACATCCCAACCCCATCCGTGACCTGTGCCCGCAAGTGTTCTTGGCAGTCATGGTTCCTTCCCTTGTCCCGCAGCATCTGATGTGCGCTGGGCTGTGGTGCCTGGTAGAAGGAGACACATCCTGCAGGACCAAGCTGGACCCTCCCCTGGACGGCACCGAGTGCGGGGCAGACAAGGTAACCCCAGCCTCCCAGCGCCGGGGCAGCAGCACACACCTCCTAGAGGCGCTGGTGTCTGTCCTGCTGGAAGACAGCATGCACTCCGCTCAGGAGCCCTGAAACATCACCCAGGGCACTGTGGAAATGCACACAGAGCCTGTTTTCTTGTAAAGATACAAGAACCATCACTTGATATTTTAGATTAGCTCCTTTTGTCACACAAATGAATTTCCTTGAAAGGGAAAATCTTAATCAGTACACTTTAAAGGGAAAACAAATTTCACATGCCATGCACAAAAGGCTATCATAAGTGAATCTAAGGAGAACAGTTTTATCCAGTTCTGGCTAGATGCTAAGAGCAAGACATCCTTGTGTCTGGGAGAGAGCCTGAGTTACCGAGGAGAGCTGGTCAGGTCAGCAGCAACACAGCTTTCTCCATGGTCCTGTTGCATGCCACGAAAGAGTTAAGTGATATTCCATTCCCACTCTGTGATTGGAGACTGCTTTATCACACACTTAGGAAAATCTGTTCTAGAGATTAGCTTTCTTTTACCCTCAGGAAAAACTGAGGTGCACCCATAAGGAGCTGCCTGTGTCATTTCTAAGCACCAAACCCCACCTTGAAGTTCTGACCTCAGAACCTGGAAATGCTGTAACTTAACCTGAAGCAGTTTGTAGAAATTTTAGGTCCCTCCGCAAGCCATGTGGATTAATCTTCTTTCTGAGAATTTAAAAAATCCCAATGGGGGACATTCCATGTGGAAGTTTTAGGCAAAATCCAAAGCCCAGAGGGACATAAGTGTCAGTAAGTAAGGAATGTCAGTAGAGTTAGCAAATGCACTTATCCCCAAATAGTCTATTTTTATGTAAATCTTAATTTAGAAATTCAGATTTTGGCATGGAGGAGGGCATCACAGTCCTTGCTGGGGCCACCCCCGCTGTGTTGCAGTGGTGTCGCGCAGGGGAGTGTGTGAGCAAGACTCCCATCCCGGAGCATGTGGACGGAGACTGGAGCGCATGGGGCAGCTGGAGCATGTGCAGCCGGACGTGTGGGACAGGAGCACGCTTCCGGCAGAGGAAATGCGACAACCCCCCGTAAGTTCCCCTTGACTAAGCCTCTTCCAGAGTGCCTCGATTGGTCTCTCCCACCCACAACCCTTGCTGCCATAAGCTGAGAAAGGTAGCCTAAGGAAACTGGTAGGAGCAGGGTACCGGATACAGAGGTCATGTGTGTGTTGAATGGCATCTCAGCTTCACCAAAGCTCTCTCTGCGAACACTTGGACACTGGAGTCCTGTGGCGAGCTGGCTCCTTTCTTCCTTGATTGGGCCGTGATAGAAAGATTTCCTGAGACAGCTGGAATATAGCCTGTCTCGCCTGCCTCATTCTTTGCTTAGACCAGGGTCATTCTCAGAAAGCCCATGGACCTTCCGGAAAGAGCAGCCAACCTTCAAACTGGCTGTTGGTGGATTTGAGAGACGCCTGCTTGCTCATGAGTCACAAAGTATCTGAGGGGTCAGCTGTCTTATTCATCCAAATATTTTTCATAGGTCTTACTAAAACTAGTTGACAGAAAATAATATTGTGGTGGTTTTACTCTAAAGTTTCTGCCTTAGGTTGTTGTTTCTTTGCTTGTTTTTTACTATAATTACACCAAGATCTTTCCTATTCAGCCTCAGCCATTTGCTGCAGAAAACTCAGGGAGAGATTTTGTGCTTGATTCATGCTTTAGTCAGTGTTACAGACGCCATTTTTCCCAGTAGTGCTATATGAACTGGCATTATATATTATGTTTTTCTAGAATATAATATAACAGAATACCTGGAACATAGTAGATTTTTAATCTATTAGGAGTGACTTCGTAACTAAAAGCATAGAGGGTTTGATGATTAGAAGTCGTATTTGGCTGAATGGCAGGAAATTAATACTGGGTGCATTCAGTTTTTATTCTGCTCTATATTGAAGCTTGACCTCTGGCCCCAAAAAGAGAGCTCTGAGTTTGGATTCATAGTGCCGAGATTTGGGTCTGGTTCTGTTGGTTATTTGTTATGACACCTCAAGGAAGACCCTTCTGTTCTCAGTTCTCAGTTTCCCCATTAGAGGGAGCTGGCAGAGTATAGTTCAAAGAACTAAGCATCAAAGCCAGGACAGGCAAGTCTTCGATCCTAGTACTGTTCCTTATAGGGACCAGTGGTTTTATCTTATCTTTCCATATAAAAGTTAGAAAAATCCATGGGAGTGCATATGCAGTCCTTGGTCTACAGTTAAGAAACAGTCCTCCTCTTATTAGCACTAACAGAAGAATGAGGATGAGACCATTTGTCCTGTCCCATCCACCTCATAGTGCAATTTTGCAGCTCAAGGAAAGGTCATGCTTGTCATGGGTGTCATGGGTGTTCCATGACTGTGTTTGGAGCTGTGGGCCCTTACTGAGATCTGGCCTCCTTTGGCATATTATATATGTCATCCTTCATCAGGCGACATCTCAAAAACATCATAGTAGGGGAAGAGTAGAGCCTCCAAATACCCCAAGGCCCCAATGTCCAAACACTGTAAACAATTAGATTGTTGTTTTGGTGAAGATGGCATCTGTAAGAATAAGTTGCTATCAGTGCTAGAAAATTGTATTAGCATAACTTACAAGAGTCTCAGCATTGTCTTTTTGTCTTGGGATGACATTGGCTACTCTGCCCCTACCCTAGTTGGCAGCCTGCAGAGGAGGTTTTCCACACCTTATGACTTCCTGGTTTGGACCCTGGTAATATTCTAGCTGCTTTCTGCCCTGCCTATCTATGGTTGCTCTGAGATATGATAAGGGCATTTTATGATGGGAGGCTCCTAAAGACCCCCTGGTTCTAACAGCTGTATTAACATACCTACCCTGGCCAAGCCTACAATGAAGTTGCATATTTTGGAGTTCTCTTCCCATCCCTCCAGGTCCAACAGTTCCTGAAGAGAAACTGATCTGAAAATCACAAAGATGTGAAAATGTGTCATTCCTCTTCTTTATCAGCTACCCTACCATACCATAGTGGCCATCAGTTTTATCTCTTGTGGCTCATCTTCTGGAATGTTACCATTGAGGAAGGGGGGGATTGCTGGGACTGCCACACATAAGCACCTGAGGGTTTGTGGGTCTCCACGTGTGGGATTATGTGGGACACGGTGTCTGATGTCCAGCAGTGTCCCACAGGGCAGGGCAGTGGTAGAAGTGCCAGAAAGAAAAGGTTCACTCCTTCCAGGCCTGTGCTCCTCTCTGCTGATGCCTTTTCAACATGATGCCTTCAGTAAGCCTCAAGGAACCCTAAGTCTGAACTCTGCTAAGTGTGTGCTTACAGTGTCAAGCAAAGACACATGCAAGCCCTGCCCACCCCCAGGGGCACAGCCCCTCAGCATTCCCTTGATTTTTTTCCCCTGACACTTCAAACCAGATCCTCACTACACTATGCTCTCTCCTCCCAGCTCACTTCTACCCTCTCAGTACATGCCACCTCCATCTACTGCGTTGCTTGAGTGCAGAGCCTGTGTCAGTCTTCCCTTTGTCTCCTTTCCTTTTTCTCCTCCATGTCTGATCAAGATAGAAATGGCAAATTAAGGGGCCACTTACCATGTACCAGGTTCCCTTAGGCATGTTTCCTGCATACTGTGCTGGAGAGCTGTCTTTGTAGCCCTACTGCACAGATACAAAACTGAATGGTAGACAAGTAGGTAACTTTCCTGAGGTGGCACAGTGAGGCAGTGGTAGGTGGGTTTGGAGCTCAGTTCAGGAAACCAGAAGTCCAAAATCCAGATGTCAGCAGGGCTTCTTCTTGAAATACGGAAGGAGAGTCCATCTGTGCCTCTTTCCTGGCTTCTGGTGGCTCAGGCATCTTTGGGGCATCCCTGCAGTCTCTGCCTCTGTTTTCCTGTGACCTCTTCTCTGTGTCTTCCCACTTTTCTTCTCTTAGAAGGAACTTATCACTGCACTTGGGGCCCACCTGGTCCAAGGTGATCTCATCTCAAGATCTTTAATGGGATCTCCTAAGACTTTTTCCCGATAAAGCCACATTCTCAGATTGTAGGTGGACTTGTCATTGGTAGGGGACAGAGAAGCCACCATTAAACCCACTGCCTCCTCAAAGCCTCCTGACTCTTCACGCACCTGGGTCTAACTCAGGACCATTGCTAGAGCTCTTTTCTTTTCTCTAGCTTGCCCTTGCCCCTCTCTGGACCTCAACCTAACTTTTCCTTAGAGAGCCCTCCTTCCCTGGGGTCCTTGCTCAGGGTGGGGAGCCTCCTTTACTCCCCAGCACCCCTTCTGGATGTTGCAGGCATTATAACAATTGGTCGCTGCTGTCATGTCTTAGCTCATTTGTTTTCACTTTGTCCTTTCCACTGGCCTTTGGGCTCCATGAAGGCCCAGGATGGGCCACACCTGTTTGGCTCCAGCCTACCTGCCATCCCTGCAGCACAGTGGCCACTCTAGAAAACATGTGACCACCTGACTGTCTAACTATGTGCTTGCCCCCAAAAAGCAGTCTTTCTGCTCTTCCAGGGCCCTAAAACACCCCTAAGGGCTCTTCGTCCCTACCCTAAGACAAAGATTATCATAAATAATTAGGCCAAATAGGTAGATGGCCAGGTGGTGGGGAGGAAGACTCAGGCCCTTTCCCTTGAAGCCAGAATGCTTGGAATGGCCAGGCATTGTGGTCCAGGTCCTCCATGGTGAGGTCCACTTGCCACCCAAGCCTGCCCTTTCCTGGCGATGCTGTGACTCACAGCTAGAAGGGCTCAGCGTTATCTCAAGAGTAAGCTTCAATGACAGTATATCTCCATGTCCTATTGGGAACAGAAATAACATGCTGCTTTTCTCTGGGGAGTGTTCCACTAGGTTTTCTCCTGCCTGCAGCCAGGCCAGGTGGATGGTGGGTGACAGCACTGGGTGGGCGCATTAGCAGCCATCGTTGGCACCTCCTAAAGAGGTGCGGGATGTGGACAGCTCGGTATGGGGTCCAGGCTTGCTGTGTGCAGCATGCATTGCACAATGGCCTGATGCGGTGATTGTTATAAAGTACAGCTGATTATGGCCTCAGAGCCAAGTTCTGACCAAAACAGTGTCCTCTCTGTCTCACTCCTTAAATCACCAGGCTCACTGCCTCAGGATTTCGAAAGAATGGCCAGTGCTCCCTGCCTGTGCAGCTCAGGCTTGGAATGCTCCCATGACCCTCTCTCCCCTCTTCTTGCACATGCCTGGCTTCTTTCCCTGCCTTCTGCAGCTGGTTTATTCACTGTCCAAAAATACTGGCAAGAGAGTCCCCTCTCACCCCATCATTTTTTTTCCTAGTCTTGGTCTTTTATAGCTATTGAAGTTTTTATTTTTTACCAGGTGACATGAGGGGCCCTGGGGACCATCCGAGTTTCTAAACCGGCTTCCTAGGCTTGTCCTCTCCTGCCATTTGTGTTGTTGTTAGTGGGAGTTACACCCAAAAAATACAAGGTAGAAAATTCGTCTCTAATTCCATTTCCGGTGCCCATGGAAGGCTTGTTGGAGGCGTGGTGTGGAGAAACGTTCAGGTGCCCTTGTGTAGAGAGCCAGCTCCTCACAGCAAGGTCAGAATGGGAAGGAGAACAGAGACAGAGCTGGGCTGAATTGGGACCCGTCTGCAGTGTAGGACCCCGTGAGCACCACAGAGGCAGGGGAATCAGGTAGTCACTCAAGACTCTGTAGGTACAGGGATGGAGGGATGAAGTCTATGGCTGCAATTGGTTTCTGCCTCCACAGTGAGACCCCAGGAATGTTTTCGCTGTGCCAGTGACCTATGGGTGATTCTCAAAACTCCAGGTTTTCTGGGTATAAGTGTCAGTTCCACAGAGTGCTTGAATACCTTTTCCGAGGAGGCTTTAACACTAGGATGTCTGCTACCCTGAAGGTGGGCCCTGCACCACCTCCCAGACCCTTGGGATTTGCCCTGCTGACTCACAGGAGCTCACAGAGCCAGGGCAGGGGCCAGAACTGCCAGCTCTGCAGAGCTCGCCGTGTCTGGATGGCATACCATACCGGTCTGCACGGCTGTTGTGGCTTTCTCTTCTCATCTATCTTCACTTAATAGGAAAAGCAAAAAATAAATGAGCTGCCACCAGCTGGCTCCTTTCGCTTCTAGCCTCCCCTGGTTCTCTGTGTCCATCCCCTCCGACGGGCAGGGCCAGGTTTGGTGCTTTGCGATCCCTTTCATCTCAGCATCTCTGTTACTGCCAGGCTCTCAGCTTAAATCCGTCCGGTGGTCTAGTCCAGGCACTGTGCAGACCTCCCCAGCAGGAGACCATCCTCACCCTGCAGGAGAGTGGGGTGATCTGCAGTGGAACTCACCTTTCCCTCCACTCTTCCAGTTTCTCACCAAGGCCATTCTAATTTATTCTTTTGTTCATTTGAAACATATTTCTCAAAATGAAACCTGCAGAAAAGTACTATGCCCTGCAGTGTGATGGTCCATCACCCTCCACTGGGTGCACAGGGCATGCAGGCAGTTGCATGTCAGAGCAGTGGCGGGGAGTCACTGGCTCATGTGTGTGACCTTGTGCTACTTCCGGTCCAGGTTTGCAGAATGGCCGTCCCTTCTGCACTGCCATGAGCTGTGGCAGGCCGCCAGTTGCTCCGTGTCTTCCCAGCTCATGTTACCATCAGTCTTTTACACTGTGGCCATTCCAGTGGGTTGGTTGCAGCATCTTGTGGATTTCACCTATCAGTCATGGGGCTGAACATCTGTGTGTTTCTGTGTCATGTGGATAGTCTCTCTCCTTGTGAAAGGCCTGTTCTGGCTATTTTATTTCACATCTAAGCTTCTACTCCATCGGGGTTTAGAAAGCCCACGAGACCAGATATTGGGGACTGATAATAGAGAAGCGCCATAAAAACCCTTCCTTCTCCAGGCTGTCCTTTTTGGCCTCATGATGCCCAGCGGGCAGTGCTTTCACTGAGCTAGAAGCAAGAGCTCTTATGTGTTACATTTACTGCCATCTCATACCTGTCTGTTGGAGCGTTGCTTCCATCGTCGGTAAGACGTGGTCAGGTCCCTTCTGAATCTTTGTGCACACTTAATGTGGTTGCATCTGATCCCTGGGTTGTCTGCTCAACTTGTATGCTAGGGCTGCCATAGCCAAGTGCCACAGACTGGTAGCTTAAACAACAGCTCACAGTTTTATTTTCTCACAGCCGGGGAGGCTAGGAGTCCACGATCCAGGCACTGGTGTGTTTGGTTCCCTCTGAGGTACAACACAAATCTGGTCCACACCTCTCTCCAGCTGATAGTGGTTTGCTGACAATTTCTAGTGTTCCTTGGCGTGTAGAAGCATCATGAGCATCTCTGCTTTCATCTTCTTGTGGTGTGCCCCGTGTGTGTGTGTCTCCAGATCCCCCTTATTATAAGGACACTATTAGATTTGATCATATTAGATTAGGGACTCACCCAACCCCGTTGTGACTTCATCTTAACTAATTACAAAATCTTCAGTGATCCTATAAAGTTCCATTCTGAGCAGGGTTGGGATTTCAACATATACATTAGGGAGATGGGGACACAACTCAGTTTGTAACCGCTTGCCGTAAGACATCTGGTATGTCACTAATCCCTTCTTGGTCCCCAGTCATGGGAACTTACCTGTTGCCATGAAGATGTCTCTCCTACTGGTCCATGCAGCTCTTTAGGGCCAGACCTCTGCTTCTTCCACACTGCTTTATGGCACAGGAATCCTCAGGACCCCTTGACAGGCCCACCAATGTGTATGATCTCCCTAGGCCTCTTCCATGCCCAGAGGAGGGAATTATTCATATGAATTGGACAGAGAGAGATAAAAAGGACCCTTTATTCTACTTGGGGAATTTTCTCCAATACATCTGGGTAGATTGGGAGCTGGCAAATTGGTTTGTAAACCAAATCTGGCTTGCCACCTGGTTTTATGAATAAAGTTTTATTGGAACACAGCCATACTCATTCTTTTACAAGTTGTCTCTGAGTGCCTTTGTACTACAGTGGCAGAGTTTAATGGCTCTGTTGTATGACTGTATGACTCACAAAACCAGGAATATTTCCTCTCTCACCCTTTATCTAAAAAGCTTCATTGGCTTGTGGTATAAAGATAAAAGCCTGCAGACTTCTGCCCCCTTCTGTTGTATCTCTTCCCTAAAGCTATAATCATACGGTGGCCTTGCCATTCAAGCGTGAGAAATGGCAAAGGAAAAAAAGAAAGACCCTCAAGAATTAGTGGCCAGAATATCATGCTGCCAACTGGTATGAACAGTTTGTAAAAATTTATGGAGGAACTGTGAGCTAAGCCCTTTTTTTAAATGCTGAATTTCAATAAAAAGCACAGAGCGCAAACACAAGGAATCTTATTCCCTCACGATGTGCTTGCCACCAAGGAGATGAATGGAACCATTGAGGTTGCCCAGGTTGCTATTCTCCAAGGATAGCGCAGAGCCTTGTGGAGGAGCTGGGAAGAGCCACACTGGCCAGCCAGTTCTGCATCCTGCTGCCCTGCCTCAGTGTCCCTCGTAGGTGTGGACTTAGTCAGGGAACACAGCCTGGTCTCTCGAGCTGCCTAAAACCCTCGTCTAGTCACAGAGTTCCTAGGACTTCATACTGTAGCGTTGATCTCACACTTGCCCTGATAGAGCCAGGTCCCTCATAGCCAGGACTTAAGTGGGCTCTACTCAAAGCCCATGATGAGTCATTCCGATGTATTTCATTAGAAAGTAAATGAGAGCATTTATTCACTCATCCTAAAACTTGTCAACCTCCAGAGTACACCTCCAAGCCATTTAGAGGTCTTCATTTCAGAGAAGTAAAAAATACTTGTTTTAAAAAAATCAAAAATTCCCTTGGGGTTTTCAGAGATACAAATAGCCAAATTTTAGGTCACCAAAACAATGTGTGTGTTTTGCTGTAGTGATAACGAGCTGTGTTGTTTCCATTTCCAGTCCTTGGATGCATTTTTCTGCTTATCGTGTCAACATGCCTTCAGTATGGGTCTAGGATTGCACAGAGAGGGTTGCTTTGGAAGCCTTGCCCCATCCCCACTGCCTCTTGGCAAGAGGGACAACAGAGTGTCCTTGCTGTTTGCTCCAATCACCTGGTTAATACAGACCTCCTTCTTCCTTCTAGCCCTGGGCCTGGAGGCGCACACTGCTTGGGTGCCAGCGTGGAGCATGCAGTCTGTGAGAACCTTCCCTGCCCCAAGGGTCTGCCCAGCTTCCGGGACCAGCAGTGCCAAGTGCATGACCGACTGAGCAGCAAGAAGGGCCTGTTGACAGCAGTGGTTGTTGATGGTAAAGCCCTATGGCATGTCCTTTCACAGTGGTTTCCTTCTCTTCTCCCCCAAGAACCCTAAAAACTACTTTGGGAAACCTCACAGGATGCCCCCACCCCCCCAAAAAAGAAAAACTCACCCAATGAGATGTTCCACTTTCCTACCCAAGTCAGCCAAGGCCCCACTTCTAGAAGAGCGGGGTTGAACTTGACCCAACTTTCAAGGATCTCCCAAGGACAGCTGTCTCAGACAGGCAGCAAGCCAGATTCATCCTGCGCCCCCAACTGCAGCAAGGAGGGTGTGCTGGCAGCCTGCCCCCTGGCGCCATGTGCAGAGGAACCAGGACAGACTGAGAAGAACAGGATTCTATAGGAGCAGGGCGATGTGTTTGTGTGTGTGCTGTCTTGCTTTGCAGCAAAGATGTCCTCCTGCATTTCTTTTCCTGGCTCGTCTTGGATAGGTTTTACTCTTTGGGGAAATTTGGAGAACAGTGTATATAACATCTGGGAAAGATGACAATCAGCACAGGTTGTATTTTCTTTGAAAGAACTTTCTCCTAAATCAAGAGACTATGTGCTACTGGGTTGCCACAGCATTTCCAGTAACTGAAAAAACTCCAGGGAGTGGCTCATATCTCTGTAGGATTTGTGATATTTTTTCATTGTAGGCAAGAACCCCAGGACCAAGTTGAGGGTTTTTGTTTTGTCTTGTTTTGTTTTTTGCCTAAAACTGTTCTTCAGGAAACATGACTTCGTGTTGTAATGCTGACAATATGGTCCCATTTATTGAGCATACTATGTGCCAGACACAAGTTAGCTGTCCATACATGATCTCATTGGATATGCAATGCAAGATGTCCAGAAGATGAGAGGTGACAGCTTATGTGACATGTCTAAGCTCCTACAGCTGACACAGGGGAGGGAACCAACCCCAATTCTGGAGGAGTAAAGTTAACTCTGAAAATAACCAGTAATCACCTGGCTGGTGAAAACATGATAACATGGAGACAGAGTGAGGGAGCTTTAAGAAGAATGAAAACGAGGGCCAGATTTTCAGACAGCCTCCAGTGTGTTTATTCTCCAATGGCAGAATTCTGTCCTAGTGCCAGATCTTTGGTTCCTTCCCCGTGATGGGAAGAACCTCTGAAATTTTCATTCTGTTACCTGTGATGACAAGTTCAAATGTACATAGCTATTTAAAGGTAGGCCCAGGCACTGATGGAAATAGCAGCTTCAGATCTGTAGCTTTTAGCTGGACAACCTGACCTGTTCACTTTAAGATGACTTGTAATGTAGCACATGATGTTCTCAAATCTAAATCATAGCAGGTAACGCCAGCCACCTCACCTGGGGACTGATTTTCAAGTATTGGAGAGCTCCTCTGGACATGATCCTTTCTAAAAAAGAATACCACCTTTGGGGATGGATAACTGTATTGCACTTCTCCGACCGAATTTGAGAGTTCAGTCTTCATACCCTGACTTGCCCTGCACACAAGGAGAGGGCAGACCCCATGATCTTGTAAGGAACACGAGCAGCTGGAGACACAGAGTTGTGCACGGTCCCCTGCTTCTCTCTGCCTGAACATTGCTCCGGTGCAGGAGGAGGCAAGGGGCTTCCAGCCATCTCAGCACATTCAGACTCCTAATCAGGAGTGAGATAGTACCAGAGAAAGTTTCCAAACCTCTGCTTTCCCCAGAAGGAAGATAAAGATGCTTTTAAGCCTCTTTTGTCCTCTCCCCCTTTACTGAAGTCAGATCTAAGATAGACTCACCCTTTTTTCATTTCTACTCAACTGTGTGCACAAAGTTGTTGTTATTCTTTCCTTGGTTGGTTGCTTTAAGTTCTGCCTCGTTTATTCAGTGCAGAAATCCCACTTCAATGTCCGTTTTTCCACAGATTTCTCCAAGTCCAGTTTAAACCTCTGTTTTCCTTCTAACCACTTTTGGATGGGTGAGCTCTTTGGTCACCTTATCATCACAGTGGCTGAGACTTCTGTCTGCCCAGGTCCTCATTCAGGAAGCCTCACAGGAGGCTCCTTGGAACCTCACTGGGTTTAGAATGCATCTTTTCACCCACTTGCTTTTTGTTTCTTTCTGCCTAAGTAATAAATAATTATGCTAGTGTGCCGCTGCCTTTGATCTGAAAAGTACATCCCTGCTTGATAAGGACAGCTAACAGGCCGTAAGTGTTTTGCCTTCAAAGGAGAGACCCTGAGTTCAGGGCTCTATAAAGGCAGCAGCACACGTTCTCCTCTGGGGTAGAATTGTCGTGACTTCTTGCATATTTGGTTTCATTTCTCTCTCATTTATAAACAGAGGCCAGCATTTTTCAAAAGGAGCATTTCACGAGGGTAAGAGCAAAATAATAAATGGCCAATTCAGAAGGCAGATTCTAAGTGTTCCTCTCAAAACCCGCTTTCTAAAAGGCACAATTCTAGCTCAGCCGTGATAGGAACGATTCCTGTGGTCAGGCTCCCGGCTCCTCTGAAGCCCATTATGACTCCCCTATTCATAGCTCTGCTATCGCTGCAGAATTCTTTGGCGAGTGACGCACAGTTCAAGAAAGGCAAAGCAATATTTTTTCTTTTCTGTCTCTCTTTTTAAAGAATTCTTGCAGAGGTAGATTTTCCAAGGGAGGACTCAGGACCACAAATCCATACCCACCTCCAAAAGAAGACAAAGACTTTCCTTAGAAAAGATTTCTGGGTGGAAAAGCCCTTAGACAGAAACCAATTGAGCTGGCTGGTTGCCAGACCCACCCTGTTCCTGCCTTACCCAGTGGAATCTCATCGAAATGGAAAGCTTCAGGGGTACAGCCCTCTGCCCAGGCCAGCAGCAGGCCACGCGCCCACTGAAGAGCTGGAGGGGTTAACCAGAGCTGTGTCTGAACATGGTGCTGCTTTCCCAGCTCTCTCCCTGGCATGGCAGGAGGCCCTCCAGGTCTGAGCCCCTGAAGGGTTGAGGGGTGTGCTAGTTAAGGCCTTCCCACCCCACCTTAGCCAAGCTGTCCATAGTTGCTTAATGAACAGAGAGTATCTCAGAGGACCCGATGGCCAAATTGAGGGTCCAGGACCAGGACCAGGGCCTCTGAAGATGTCAGCACCTTCCTAGGGCGCACATATGGGAGTCACATCCTCTTGCCTAACTGGTCTGTCTACATGTAGGCTAATGGGATCCCATAGCACACCTGATGTAAATTTACATCCCTTGTCCAAATTTAGGGGGGCCAGATATGGTTCAGAACTCAAAGGATTTTAGTGTTAGAAAAGTAAAAACAATGCCATCATCCAAATGGTAATATCCCTGGTGGGACTCTGTAGAGACCTGGACATTTCTACCATGGAACCTACAAATGGCCCTGTTGAATGTGTACCAACTCTTGTCAGTCAAGGCTGGTTTTGTTGTCAAATGTGTGTGCCCCAAGTGTAAGAAAACACTTGGAGTTTTCCAAGTGTTGTGTATTTCTCAGTTACAGACAAGAGAGTATAAGTTTTCTGTGGTTTCCATCAGCAGAAGAGAAATGACTACTCTGTATCTGAATCCCGGTACAGAGATCTCAGTGGAGAGTCTAGTTGGTCCAAATGCTGTCAGGTGATCAATGCTGGTCCAATCAAATAAGGCCTGATTATGAGCTCGTGGTAAGAAGAGAGAATCTGATTGGCCCAGCTGCGATCTAGTGGTCACTGCTGGTCCAGTCAACTGAGGCCTGGCTGCCAGAGAGCTAGTATGAAGTCCCGGTGGGCAGTTTTGGGGACAGGAGGCTGAGCAGCTCCTCAGCTTGTGTCTTCTACATAAGGCCAGGCAGAGCTTGAATGAGCACTTGTGGTGATCTCAGAATTAGATGGTGTCTGTGCCCTAGTAAGACTCCGTAACTGCTGGCAAAGAGAAAGCTCAGGAGTGCTGTGTGCAACAAGTTTCCTCTTTACTGTGGTGCACCAGGAAGAATCCTCTAAACCTCTGCCAAACAGGCGTGGTCACATGGCTCTCAGGCCTCTGATCCCATCTTCTATGCCCTGTATGGTTTCCCTCCAGTCAGTCAGGAAGTCCTGCCAACAGGGCGACCAGAGAGAAGTCAGACCGACTCCAGACAGACCGATTCAATCTGAGTTTCTTCTCAGTGCACACCCACCCTGCAGGAGGGATACTCCAAGCTTCTCTCCTTAGAATGTATAGTTGTGTAACATTTATGCTACCGGGAATGTAATAAGAGTGTTGACACTCTGCTCAAAGCTGCAACCCATCCCATAGTGGTTATTTATTGGGGTCTTTTATTCTAACCATGGCAGACTGGAAGAGAATATTCAGTTTTGAGGAGCTCTGGGCCTCCTTCTGCCTATAGAAAAGGTTCTCTTCAGTTCCTTTGGGAGATAGTGCTGCTCCTCAGTAGAAGTGGGCACACCCTGAATTCTGAGCAGAGTCCTCAGAAAGGGAGATGGACAAACAGCGGGAATTCCACCCAAGCTGAGGATGGAAGCACCTCCTCTGCTCTTTGTTCTGGAGCCTGGTTATCGCAGGCTACCTGAGTCATGGAAGGCAGTGTCTTCAGGTGGAACGGTCGAGTGCAGTTGCCGGGGGCTATGGCATATGTCGTCCCTTGGAAGTTGCTGCTCCTGCTGTGAAGAGCCTCCACTTCTCTGATGCTCACACCAAAGAGCCCAGACAACGTTTAATGTCTTCCGGGCTGGTCTTTCTAGCTTTTCTCAAAATAGTCTCTATTTTTCTACTTTTCTTTCTTTCTGCTCATTAAAGTATACACCCAGAAGCCAGAAATACCCACCGACCTAGTGGTTTGTTTTCAGCCATTTTGCCCCTCAGTGTTTCTGGGCTCCAGGAGTTCTCCATTCAAAGAATATAAACAATGATGGTTGAAAGAGAACCAGGCTGCAGTGAAGAGGTCAGAGTGCAGCCCATGCCCATCCCATAGGTCCCATGTGTATGATGGAATGATGACAGCGTGCACCTGAAATGTACAGGCATTTGGCACTACTTAGCTTGCTGCCTGGCCTGGAGTAGATCATAAATGTCATTTATGTTTTTATCATCATGACTGTTCCTGCTATTGAATTAATTACCTCAAAGCCCCGTTACTCCCAGTATTAAGTCCACACTTCAATCTAAGAGTAATTAAGATCCACAATTTGGAACCACTTTGGCCAAGGGGCACTTCTTTACAGTGAAACATTAGCGGTAGCACGGTGTGTACAGTATACAGACCAATCCACTCAGACTGGAGGGCTGTTTTGCTGCTTCTCTCCCACCAGCTCCCATGGTGCTCGCAGGAAACCTCCACGGACCCCAAAGAACCCATCAGTAATGTTGTCAAATGAGCTCCCGGAAGCTGATCTCAGTTTCGGTCTCCATCTTCCATAGTCGTCTTTCTTCTGGCTACTTCCTTGGGCCCTTCTAGATATAGGGACAGTCATCCACAGTGTGGCCCACAGGAAAGGAGTCATTCCTTCCAGGTTCTGCCCTGCCCTCCCTGAGCTCACATCAGCCTCCCCTCGTGGAACTTGTCACAATTGCACATCTGGGGTTTGGTCTGTACTTGTCCTCGAGACCACAGGGGCCTCAGAAAGCACACATTACTCATCATTCTTCCCTCAGTGGTGCCCACAGGCTGCTTTGTGTGAGGGAGGGACTCCAGCCATGCTTGTTGAATGAGCAAGTGTCGAGGCTCCATTACCTTGCTTACCTAGGAAACTAAAGGTATCTAGTCTACTCTTCAGAGCAACATCTATCTCCCCAACTAGCTAGAAGAGCCGAGTTGAACATATGTGCTCTGGTAAAGATTCCAGCTGGGAGGCCAAGACCACATCAGCTGCAGGAGCCTTTCTCTACCCTGCCCTTTGCTCACCCAGGACCACCGGAAGGACCCACTGGGCAAGGCTGGTGGTGAAGATGAAGACCAGCAGGGAGGCATAAAGTTCTCCCACTCACTGAAGGTTTCCTTTGCAGATTAATCCCATTAATGGTTTTAGGGTTAGGATTCGGATGGGGGGGTCCTCTATTCATTTGTTCAAAAACCCTTACTGTGAGCTTAGGTTCTAGACCCTTAACCCCTAAGGGGTCCCATCTCATCGGTGCTTAAGACCGGAAGTATGTCAAATTTGACATTTCTTAATTTGGAACTGTTGGCATGTATACAATGAGATATCTTAGGGATGGAACCCAAGTCTAAATTCATTTTTGTTTCCTACACACCTTATAGCCTGCAGGTAATTTACACAATATTTTTAGTGTGCCTGTGACCAAACACATGAGGTCAAGTGTGGAATTTTCCACTTTTGATGTCATCTCAGATCTCAAGAAGTTTCAGAAGTTGGAGCATCTTGAATTTTGGATTTTTGGATTAGGGATATTTAACTTGTAATTAAAAATTCATCCTTTTTAGATCTCATTGGCAGTGGGATCTGCCTTACAAGAAATTCCTTTGTAGATAGGATTTTATCAGTTATAGAACAACAAGCTGTTGTTCTTTGCAAATTTATTATCTGAAGCATTCTGGGAGATTTGGGCAGAGTGTGCATAGAGATGCCTATCTTATCCCATTGTCACAGATGGTAGGAGAAGAGAGAGGTCTGGTGTGGTGGTAGTTCCCTGTGTGGTAGCAGCCTTCTATAAAGCTAGGTACAAGAAAGGATTTCCAGGCAGAGGGAAGAGCCTAGGCCAGTGGTGGCAAACCTATGGCATGTGTGCTGCAGGGGTTACACAGAGCCCTCTCTGTCGGCACAAGAACCAAGTTCCCCCGCCAGCTGAGCATGGAATAACAGTTGTTTTTTATAAACTAAAACTTCAGTATTCAGGTTTAAATACAGTATTGGAACTTCGCGATAAATAAGTGGGTTTTGGGTTGCAGTTTGAGCACTCGGTCTCTAAAAGGTTTGCTGTCACTGGCCTAGACAAAAGCATGTAAGCTTATTCTGGAAACTCCCATGGTTCCAGGAGCAGCAGGACCTGGGACTTCCATCTGCCCAGTGACATGGCTCTAGGAGTTGTCCTAGCGGGCCCCAAGTCCCCTTCAGGACCTTACTCCTGCTTGGTATCTTTCAGGACCTCCAAGCTTTATATCACAGCTCTGCAGCTGTTGCCCAGCAGCTAGGGAAACACTGAGACTTTTAGCAAAAGCCACTGCCATGGAGCCTCCATGGAACCTGCTCCCCACGTTGGGTCCTTGTTCACCATCCTTCCTCACCTCCACTATGGCAGCAGCTTCCAGGCTCGGCCTAGACACATAAACTGTACAGGGCCAGCTCACAGCTGTACCTTTCTTCTCCTTGGTGTGTTTAAAGCCTGCAGGAAAAGCAATGTTGCATCTTTGCAAAGCATGAGCAAAGGAGAAGGAAACCCACAGGGCTCCTACCCACACTTCCATGTACCCGAGTCAGGCTTTTCAAAGGTGCTGTTTTAAGAGTCCAAAGAAGCTCTGTGTGTGTGTGTGTGTACCTGAGGACATGTGCTAAGCTGCTGTGACCTTTACCTGTGCCAGTCTCTCTTCTTTGTGCTTGTCCATTACTTGTGTGCCTGTGCCCTGCATGGCCTACAGGCCCCTTCCCATCTCAACATCTGCCAACCTTTCCCTCCTCAGATAAGCCTTGTGAGCTCTACTGCTCACCCCTCGGGAAGGAGTCGCCGCTGCTGGTGGCCGACAGGGTCCTGGATGGCACACCCTGCGGACCCTACGAGACAGACCTCTGTGTGCATGGGAAGTGCCAGGTGAGAGCTTTTTCTTTGTCCTTGGTGGGCTTTGGAAGGAGACTGCCTCTCCCCAAAGGGGGTGTATGGTGGAGGTGAGGTCTCAGGAGGCCAGGGACATGGATTTTCTCAAGGAAGTACCTGGGATGCTGCCTGGCATAGCACTCTGGTCTTGGCACAGATATTCTGACCACAGCACCCCAGGAGCTGTCCTTCCTTGGCCATGGACACCTCCTCTCCTCTTGTTTCAGCCACATTCCCTGGTGCATCCTCGGCACATGAGCCCGCCAAGGCCTGTTGGAGGTGGCAGCTCAGGATTGCCACGCATTCAACATAGGAAGGAAAATCAGGTCTTTCTTTCGGTTTTCACACGTCCTAGTTTGACCTCCATTGGCCAACCCCTGTGTTGATCTAATGAGGGAGTCCCTCCCCCTGAGAGCCACTGAGCGGCCTTCCAATTTTAGTAGGAAAAGAAAAAAATGCTTTTCAGGAGCTATGTGGCTCCAGTTGCTTCAGTCTCCACATCTTCCAAAGCTAACAGCCATCTTTAATCCTCCGGGAAACTTAAAAACATTTGAAATAGTAGGAATCTTTGGGGTTGTGGGGAAGAGACACTTAAATCCTCATTTGATGGTGAGTGTATAGAGGGCCTGCTGAGCCTCAGGTCCACTGCAAGCAGCAGACCTGCATCAACTTCTTTGCTTCTCCAGTGCCTAGCACAGTGTGCAGGCATCGGTATTTTGGTGAGCGACAGAAGAGAAGTAAGAAGACATAGCTGCAAGGGTGAAGTCTAGGACGGACGGTTCCTGCAGCAGTTTCCCTGCAAAGTCCGAACTAGTCCCAAACCGGGATTCTTCAGGGTGAAGCTTGACAAAACCCAGGCTCCTTTGGCACCGCCTGGTTTTGTTATCAAATACGGATAAGTGTGGGTGATAAATGCTTGATGCCTGAGAGTCTTGGCAAGGCAAGCTCCCAGCGAAGGAGGAAGCAATGTGTGCTCAAGCTGAACCCTCAAAGCTGCTGCCTCAAAGCACAGAATGTGCAGGCCCTGCCCGTGGAGTGGTGTGAACAAAGCCTTTATCATTATTGCTAAAATGAAGCATTGCTGACAGTTCTCAGTAAACCTGCTGGCAAGCCCAGTGTGGGATTTGTTTCCTTCCTAAATTACCAGCTTGCCTGGGTAATCTTGTATGCACATGTGTGTTGCAGCCCGGTGACCTACATTCCTTTGCTAACCACTTCCCAAGTCAGAGCTCTTGTGCCCTTTAGGGCAACACCAGCCAAGCCACCACTTGCCCTTTGCCAAGCACCTTCCACAGTGTTCTTGCCAGCAGGGAAGTATTTCTAAGAACCTCAAAATTGTCTAGCCAATAGGGGAGGGAGTTTCTACCAGACATGATTTCAGCTCCTACTGGTCTGTGCCAGTGGGCATTTCCATGACCTTGGTTTTGATCAGCATTTTTAACTAGGAAGTCTTTCCTGTACTGTGACTGAAGAACTGTCAGTTCTTTAGTCGAAGGAACAAGGTCAAGATGCCATTCAAGTCATTTGAATAGTCTTAGCTCTGTGGACATCTGGCACCATGGGACCTGTTGTCTTAATCAGTTTGGCTGCTACCACATAATGGTGTAGACCTCTCAGTGTTCTGGAGGCTGGACGCCCACGGTCAGGGTGCCAGCATAGCTCTAGTAAGGATCGTCTTCCAGGATGCAGACTGCTGATTTGTTGTAGTGTATTCATGTGGTGCAAAGAGAGCTCTTCGGTTTCTTATACAGGCACTAATCACCTCCACAGGCCCACTTCCAGATACCTTTGGGATTCAGAGTTAAACATACAAATTTGGGGAGAACACAAACTTTATTCGGTCCATTGCTGATGTGATGGGAGTGACACTGAGGCACATGCCTTCCCATTCCAGATGCCACTCCATCTCCTCAGACCATGCCCATTCTGTCTCCAGTGCCTCCATCGCTGATGTCATCATTGCGTTTGTTGTCACCTGCACTGAGCCTGGCACTAACCAAGCAAAGTCAGGGGCACAGAGGTGCAGGCAGTGACTCCTTTTGCAATGCTCCATGTGGTCTCATGCTCCTTGAGAGCCTCACTTGGCCAATGAGGAGGCCACCTTTGGGTCATCTCCGCTGGATGGGTGCACTTTGGTGACCCACTGCCTCCAGGCAGCCCATCAATCCTGGCAGAAAAGCCTCCCTGCCAGTAGGTGGCAGCAGCACTGCCTGCAAACACTTAACAAGGTTGAAACCTTGAGAAACAACTTGCTTTCTGCAGGAAGTTAAAGACCATCTCCTGTTATTCAAACATTATTCTTTCTTCAGAGAGACCCTGAAGATTGACCTTTGCCCATTCTTAAACCTCATGAAACCCCAACTGAGTATCCTTACATAAGATTTGTAAACCAAATACTACATATAGAGTATACCTCATTCCAGTAACTCAAATAGAATGTTCTAGATTCCTGTGGTGTTTATGAATGAATAAGACAAGGAAAATTGGTTAAAAAATAACAGCAATCATAATTGTAAAAAATATCAGAAGTATGGTGAGCAGAGAATCTGGATCTATTCACTGATATAATTAAATACAATGGATAAAAGGTAGAAATCATCCATATTACATGTAAGACAGCAGTTATAGAAGCATCATCACAGCATACTTACTGTAGGCTTTTCCTTCTTTTCCCTTCAGCTATAAATTTTGCTATTTTGAGGTAACAGAAGAACACTGGGAAATTTTAAGGAACATAGTAACTAGTTGGTAGGATGAGAGGGCCCCAACATGGCATTTTGAGTAGATTCCACTAAGCTGCAAATAGCAGGCTGATTCAAACCATAACATGAAACATGGAAATATCATTTTATTCCATTTTATGAGGAGTGAGTTAAGTTTCATTCCAGTGAGTCACAAATTACTTAACATGCTGAAATTAAATTTAACAGCACTCATAAAAGTGGGAGGGGACTGAAGGGAAGAAACACAAACATTGTATATTTTTCAGCAAGTCTCTATAAATCAAGAATCCCATCCTTAATGATTCCTACTGTTGGCCTCCAGAAGCTGAGAAGCCAAGGTAATAAGTCTCTTATATACAGCTTGACTCTGGAGCTACTGACATACAGTGGGTGAGTCATATTGACACGTAGCGTTAACAATCGGCAGTGACCAGATCCAAATATACCTGAGGTCTAAATATGCTTGGATTCTCCTTAATGCTTTATTAGCTTATGCACACTGGTAGCCAGTGATTAGGGTCCTACTTCCTTAGGATGTTAATCTGTGTGCAAAACCTGGACTCAGTAGAAACCTTTAGGGCCTGTAAGTTTCCTCAGTGGAGGAATTGTGTCTGATTAACCTATGTTCCTCCCTAAAAGCTGGCCCAGATGGGAGCCTGTGATTTCATATTGAAAAAAGAATTTTGAACAATGAGTGGGTATATGAGTAGATGGTCCCCTGCAGGGACTAGAGTGGGTCTGGAATCTGGAGCTCATTGCAATGGACCATTTTCAGTGTCAAGAATTTATTGGCGAATTTTGTGTACAAAGGTGAGTAGAATTACTGGTAGAATTTAGAAGTATAAGCAAGTACCTCTGTGTAAAGAAGAGATAACAACAGTGCAGGAAAACAAACCAGGCATTGATGCTTGGGCTAGATTTCAACATTGTCCTCCTTTGCTGCCTTTGGGACACCCTGACCCTGCAGCTGACTTCTCCAGAGTGTGTGGCTGTGGGTGTCAAGACTTTATGGAAACCACCCCTCTAATCCTCCATGGTAAAGGTAGTATTGCAAAAATCGTAACAGTGGGGGAAGCAGAGGCCACCAGACAAGAGAATTGCTCCACCTCACTTTGGATAACAAATAAATGGAAGTGTCATTGAAGGAACAAAGTAACAGAGGCCAGAGGCGGAACAAGTGGAGAGTCACAACTAAAAAGAAAGCTCAACCTGAGAGTCCTAGACTGGGGAATGGAGATTGGAAGTGAAGAGCTGACTAAAAACAATGTGAAGAGCCAAGGGCAACATACATCAGCCCTGCTGGGCTCTGGTCTGGTGGGGTACTGGGGAAAATATTAGTGGGCTCCCTTCCAAAGTATGAGGCACATTGTTCACGAAAAACCAGAGCAAGAGGTATGGGCTTTGTGCTCAAGGCACTTACCCTTCTGGGCTTAGGATAGATTCCAGCTTCCCTCCCACTAATCCAGAAAGGAAACATACCACGCCACACTGTCCACCATCAGTTATAGATCTCCTTCCATTGGCCTTGCTGTTCCTCCTTCTCCAGTATGACTGAGCAACCAGAGATCATTAGCTATTTGAAGAAAATCAGCAGCATGAGCAGGAAAGACCAAGAAAAATAAACAGGAAAACTGACCCTGGCAGAAAATTGATGCAGTTAGAGAATTTTGCATAAAGCCATGCTATCAGTCAAGCACATGGACAAAATAAAGTAATTTTGAGATGTAGAAGAGCTTGGAAATTTGATTTTCCATGTATTCATTCTGGAGCAATTACATGTAATTTAGCAAAATGAGGATGAAGTCAAGAAAGAGGAAGATGAACATTATAGGCCCTGGTGGAAATTACCAGGAGCCCAATAAATCCTGGCCTGACAGCTATGCAGCTGGCCCAAAATCTGTATTCAGTTAAAACTCGAAGAAGTCAGTATCTTCCTCCAACCAGCAGATAGGATGAGGCAGTAGTTGAAGGCAGCTACTAGTTCAAGAAAGCAAGTACTGCTCCAGAGGGTTAGCATAGTGGTAGAGTGCTTACCCAGCACACTCCGTTCAGCCCACGTGCTCCATTCTTGCCATGTCCCCACTCCCCCTGGCAACCTGCTGCATTCGGTTCCAGCTGGCACACTCATAGGAGATGTGATCTAAAATGAAGTGAAGGGTGTTTTTTAAAGTTTATTACGGTAAAACACATTGCCTTTAATCCCCCTCAAAACCCTCCTCCTCGGTTCAAACACGTTTATCTCATCACTCTTGCCACTTTCCAAAGCAGTTCTAGAAGTCCTCTTTCATGAGTGTCTTTAGTCATGCTGTGCTGGCTGCCTCAGTGTCCTGAGTTGATTCAAAATGCTTACGTTTCAAGGTCATTTTGACTTTGAGGAAGAGCCAGTGGTCACACGTTGCCAGCTCGAGTGAATGTGCACCGTGATGCTTTTTCAAGCCTGTCTTTCCACTGGATGGCACCCGACAGCAGCATTCTTCTTGATCATACTTCTTGAAGATACTCAGGGGTAAAGGACTTCCAGAACTGCTTTGGAAAGCGGCAAGAATGGTGAGATTAGTGTCTTTGAAGCGAAAGGGAGTATTTTAAGGGAAATTAATGGCAATGTGTCTTTTACTGTAATAAATTTTAAAAATTGAAACATTCATATATTTCAGTCAACCCTCATATGTGCAAAAGAAGAGGGAAGCAGACAACATAATCCAAAGCAAATGTCAAGAAGCCTTCTGGCAGCAACATAAAAATTGTGGAGGTAAAAGGATTAATTCACTCAGATCCACTAAAGCTTGATAATGCTACATTTTCAGGGTAAAGCTGTGTGGGTAGATGTTATGGTAGATTGAAAGTGATATCACATCACAGGGAGAATAGATAGATAGATAGATAGATAGATAGATAGATAGATCTCTTTTGTTCATAAATTAACAGTGCTTATAAGTTGAAGTATGGTTCACTTTAAAAAAAAGAAAGTCCCAATTCGAGTATGAGAGACCTAAGTGTCCTAGGTTAGAGGAGGAGTTGACGTCTGAGGGTCCAGAAGAAAGAGGCAGAGACCCCTTTTTGAAAAACAGGGTCTCTAATTCTCAGTTTTGCCCAGGGCTCATCTTGATAAGAAATCATCATTTTTATGCATTTATTGAGGATGTACTATGTCTCGACACCTTGCCAGCCACTGTGTATGGGGGTGGCGGGACAGGAATACAAAGATTATAAGACGTGGTGTTCTGTGCACTGAGGATCTGTTAGGAAGATGATACATTCATGGGAACCTAACTGCCAGGCGCAAAGGCGTGATTAAGAGCCGATGAGTTTAGATGTAGCAGGAAGCTCAGAGAGGAATTTGATTATCGATGCATGAAGTCTTTGTTGTACACATTCACATGCCAGACACTGGAACACACACTGGGTGTTCTGTAGGACAGCATGGCAGCAGGGGAAATTTAGATGACACACAAGACACCGTGTATCAGATCTGGGAGAAGCTCTCTGGACCAAGTGAGATATTTAGAGTATGCAGAAGTTGTTTAATCAGGAAGTCCCAGCTGAGGTGAAAGACAAGCCAAGCATGAAGTCAGAGACTCCCAGTGCCGGAGCAGAGGTGTGGCTTAGAAATGACAGGAGGCCTGTGTAGGAAAAAAAAAGTTGTGAGCATCTGAGGGAGATGGGGCATCCTAAGGGGCAGGTCCCAGTGACACACACCTAGGGCGAGGGGAAGCTCTGGTGGCGGTGGCCCTGTGGCTGGCCTCCAGCCTGGAGAGCATGGTGGTGGAGCTCTCAGATAGAACATGGAGCAGCATACACATGGTCTCCAGGCTTGGCACTGGGGCATTTCTTGAGGCCCCGCCTTCAAGCAGGATTCTATGCTTGGCCATTTTGCATGCTTAACCCCAATAATTTTATACTGAGCAACCCCTCAGCAGCCAGCTAGGAGGCCAGGTGAAGAACCCAGGAGCCCTATCACAGCCAGTGCCCCCCAGGTTGCAGTGGAGTGGTCTGCCACAGCACGGTGTCACAGTTGACTACGTCTCATCTGTGTCTTCATTTTTCATTAGTACGTTTCATCTGTGTCTTAATGTGTTGCCTAACTCTTCAGCTACCATGAAATCCACTCCTATCTCTTGGCTCCTTACCTGGCCTAGGGCCACTAAAACTTCCAAATTTGCCCTTTACTTGTTCTTGTACTGTGAACAAGTGTGATCCTTTTGTCAAACGCTGCCTTTTTCAGTGTTTACAATGATGATTTGTACATTAAACTAGCTCACCTCTTACCACCTCTTAGTCTGTACTGAAATATACCCAATTATTCTATCGTTTTTGGGCACACAATTATAATTTCCCATTAGTTCTTTCCCATAGAAACAAAAGCATTCAAGGATGAGGCTCTGGGATTATTGAATAGGAAAACTATTCATCTGACCATCTCAATTAGTGAACACTCATGTAATGGTTCTCTTCAGGTGGTCCCAGGACAGCACTGTCAGCTTCACCAGGGAACTTGTAGAAACACAGTCTCAAGCCTGCCCTGATCTATTGGATCAGAAACTCCAGGATTAAATCTAGCAGTCTGTGTTTTAACGGCCTTTCAGATGAGCCTGGTGCCCACTCCAGTTGGAGTACAGTCACCATGATGAAGCAGAGGATTTTCATTCTACTGGGGATCCTGGGCTTGGCATTTGGATCCAGGGATCTGCTGTTCAGCCAGCATTGCTCCAAGTCCTGTTCAGCAGGTGGGAGTGGGAGTGAGGAGGGCAGCACACAGCCTGTTCCTATCAGAGCATCTCAGGAAAAAGCAGAACTGCCCCATCCTAGGATCCTGGTTTCCTTTATGGCTTGAAGCACCAATACCATAGCTGGCGTGCAGGGCTGTTCTTATTCTGGGAGTTTTTGCTTAACAGACAAAAATGAAGAGGAACATTGAAAGCAATTTAACTAGTAAATAAACAAGTGAATAAACACTCTGTGTTTATCTAACATAAACTTAGGTTAGTTTGCATTTTACAAAATTCTCATGTATTCACACAAATGTGTGTGTGAGTGCGGTAGAGAAAAAACAAGAGGTGCCATTTTCTACTTCTTGTGACTCTATGGCTGGACATCCCAGACCCACCAGCTGGAGTTGCCTTCCTGCTGGTCCCAGAAATAACTTACTGAGAAAGTTTCAGAGATGCAGATGTTTTGCTGACCAGGTCTTCCTAAGTGCAAACTAGGGGCACATATCTGGCCTTGCCTCCCTGGACTCTGGGCCTTCCCCTTCTCAGCAGACAGCAGTGTAGTTTCTGTTGTAGGCTTAGACTATTGGTTGTTCCACCCAAGACACAGGTGACTCACACGGCCCCAAAGTGAACATTGAGCATGTGAAATTGTGGCTGCACCAGATGGTGTGTGGGAGCAGCTTTACTTCTTATCAGGGCCTCTGATTCAGCTGCCCTAATGTGCAGCCAGGGCTCAGAGTGTGGGGTGACATCTGTGGGTCCTTTTCCTCTATAGCACATGCTAGAAATATGTATTTTATAAGTATGTGAGTGCAAAGACGAAATATAATCCAGGCTGGATTCTATTTATTTTTTTCTCTTCTGAATTTAAAAGAATTAAAATATTTTCTTGGACCTCTAAAGTATTGGGGAGCCCAGGCACTGTGCCTGCTGGGCCTGATGGAGAATCAGCCCTTCAGGGGATCTGCTTTAAAACCCCTCTGAGTCTTAAAATAACATAGCCCTCTGGTTCTCTAGAAAATCGGCTGTGATGGCATCATCGGGTCTGCAGCCAAGGAAGACCGGTGTGGTGTCTGCAGTGGGGATGGCAAGACTTGCCGAGTGGTGAAGGGTGACTTCAGCCACTCCCGGGGGACCGGTGAGTACTGGCGCTGGGGCTCCTATGTGGACAAAACAGGCAACATGTGCCTCTTGGCCCAGACATTAGGGTTTCACGGATCTCTGCCTTTCCTATTGAAGGTCAAGCTGATAATGGATTGGTGAGCTGCCACTTCCTTTTCATTTCTGAAAGACAAAGAGGAATGAAGTCTTTAAGTTCCTAGAAGTGACGACTAGTTTGCCCGTGCAAGGAAACAGCTCCTGCTGCTCGGCAGCTCGGCCCCAGTGTCCTCGAATCAGTAGTGCCTAGCTTGCTCCATGTCAGCTTCCTTGTCGGGCCATCTGATGTATGGTCAGAGGAGGTGGCAAAGGCACTGCCACGTCATTTTTACCTGTTGATGGGTGAGGTTTTCTCTGTTTCTGAATTTGGTGTCAGGAAATGTAGGATAGCATTTACATGCACCTGTAAAATGTGTGTGAGCTGTATGAGCCAGAAGGGCTCAGATGCCTCTGCCAACTGGGGACCCCAGAGCAACCCAGGGTCCTGGTTCCAAACCTGGACCTTTCCCAGCAGCAGCCTTGCGGAGGTACACCAGCATCCATTTGGTGAGACTTCTTAGTCTCTCTGCTTGCATCATCTTTGCACTTTCCGGCTGCCTGCGGCAGGTGGTTTTCAGATCCCCTGCCCTGGAGGACACCGTTTTGTGGCAGCCAGTGGCATCTGTCAATGATGCTTATTGAAAAGGTCAACAAGAGTACCCCAGCTTCTGGGTTGTGACTTTGACCTGTCCACTGTAGCTGTGCCAGAAGTTTGGAACTTCTCCCTCAGCAGATTACCAATGCCTTTGATTTTTTTTTTTTAAACAAAAGTGTTAGAACTCTTTATTTAAATTGAATGTTGTACCGAGCTCCAATAAATGGACCAGCTGCAGTGGTGCCACTCTATGATAGGCAGGTTGAACAGAGCCATGCACCTTCCTTCCTGCCTCTGGGTGGTTCCGTTGAACACTAAAGAAGGTTCTGCCACACACCTTTGAAAACCTCCACTGCATGCACCAAAGCAGCTCGCTTACGAGGCCCCAGATTAGGAGCAGAAGCATCCTCTCTCTTCTGAAACGCTGATCTGTTCGCTGGCCTTTTGGCCTAGGCAGATCATTCACCTGCCCACAGTCGTGCTCTTTCTCTGGCCTCCTCTCTTTGTCCACCTTGTGCTGGGCTTCCTCTGTGGGTAGACAGTGTAGCCTTCTGCCTGCCAAGGTCAGGCATGTGTGGCCCTGACAGAGGGGCCTTCATGGAAGGACACAGCCAAGGGGAAGCCTCCTTGGCATGGCCATTGTCCTCACCCTGACTTGGAGCTTAACAGTATGTTTTCCTCTAACTTTGGAGGCCCAAAAGCCTTAAGAAACTTCCTTTGGAGAAATATAGCTAGCTTCACCCTCCTGTAATGCTCTGAAATTCCGCATGATTTCCATGTATCAGACTTTCATTTTAAAGCGCAAAACTGTTCTTTTCATTGGCGCCTGTGAGCAAAGAGCCGTATCAGTATGGATTCTGCCTACCTATTATGAACCTGTGTGTGGTGCTCATTCCCATGTGGATGCTTTCCTAGCAGCCTATGTGAGTGCAATTAAATACAAACTCATAATCAGGGTCTGACACCCTGGAATGCACATACACAGAGATATTGGCAAAGGGTCACCCACAAGTCCATTCCCCTAGCAAACGCATGTTCAAATGGATATATGTTTTTTGTTTGTTGTTGTTGTTGTTATTGTTTTGGGTTTTTTTTGGAACCTTGCACTTGAAAAGCAGGCGGCAGAACCACTAAGCTAAATCCCCAGCTCAAACAGATATATATTTTAAACACACAAGATACACAGAAATGGAAGGTAGCTGTCACATGTTCATTACAGTTGACGTGAAGACCCCCAGGCAGACAGCTTGAGCCCCTGTGAGCGTGGGTTAGCTGCAGCTCAGCAGAGGTGCTCTGGGGCCCCAGAGTCTGGCGTGGCACCTCACCCAGGCCTGCAGACATATAAGATAGCCTCAAGCCATAAAGGACAGATAGAAATCAACTGGTGACCCGGGTCGGGGGAGGACATGAAGGCTGAAGGAGAAAAGTATTCTTAGGAGACTCCCTGTAAAAATCCTTTAAAAAACACTAGGTCATTTGACATCTGAGTGACCCATTAGAGTGGGTGTGATAATCCTGTCAGTACAGATAGGAAACTAACTTTCATCTGTGCCAGGCTCCAGGGAATGAGGGAAGAATATCTATCGTATTACCCTTCAGGGTCACTATCAAAGAGAAATACCATACCACAAAGATACAACAGAATCAAATGCAGGCTATCTGCCCAGTTGTACGAAGTCCTGACCCTTGCCTGAACTCTTCTGGGTCCTCTTACCAAAGTTTGTGAACTGAGAATCAAGAGTAGACCCACATAGGATGTGTCACAGCCCCAGCCAAGCAATTGGCTGGATTTCCCACTCTGGGTCAGGAGAGACCCCGCCTGGTGCAGCATCTGGGGAAGTGGTGTCCTGAGTATAGAGTGTCTGTTACTCTCCAAGCTGTGGTCTCCCAGATTGTACAGATGAGGTCCTTGGCTTTGGAAGGAATCCACTCAGCCTGTCTTTCTGCTGGATGGGCTTAGGAGATGCTCAAGCCATGGGTTGAGTGACTGTAGCTGGGCTATTTGAACACAGCAAGTTGAAAGCTCCTGATTTACTTTTCCTTCACCCATCACATTGTCATTTTACCATTCTCTTTATTGTGTCCTGTTCCTTGGTAAGGGCAGTGTGGCTAGTGCTCGTGGACATCGAGGCCACACCCAGACCAAGGTCTCCAGCAAGAACCAAGCAGGATGCCTTGTAGGCTGTGAGTCTCTTTGTGCTTTGTTATTGAAGGGAACCTTCTCAAACAGTAGAGGCAGATAGGTTCATATGTCACACATGTATTCAGTAGTCTGCTTCAGCGCCCGCCATTCCTAAGTTCCATGCTCTGTCTCCAGTGTGGGGTAGGGATCTTCTATGGGAAAGTTTATGGATATCTGATGAGGACCTACCATGAGGCCTCTTTCTCCTTCAATTAAGAATGACAATATCTTTTCCTAAAATGTCCATAGAAATCAATTACAACGTGTTTCTTTTTCTTAGTCAAGAGCAATCTCTGTATGAAGGTGTCCACATTTGTGATGGCAAAGGCGGTTCCCACGTGTTTCTCATGTAAGATGTTTGGCTGTTACATGTGGTTCCCTTGGTGACATGCTTGGTGTGGGGCACATGTTTCACTTACATGTCTGAATGTTTTCTGAATAGAATCAATGGGAATGAGTCATGCATGAAGCTATGGATAAACACAAGGTCCATTTACTGCTTATATATAACTGATGTTCAAGACTGGTTGCCAAAAAGCACACTACAGAATAAAACCAATTTTAAATATATAAAAAAAGATGGAGTTGTGGGATCAAGAGGCTGGATAGACACATCACCTAGCACGCCAAGGCTGGGTTTTTTCTTCAACCACTTTTGCAGAAAATGCTAAGCATGCCAGAGAATTTAGCCTCAGTAGACACCTTCCTCTCGGGGGAAGTTTCCGTACCACAAGACAGGATTTCCCTATTGGCAGAGGGACACTTGGTCCCCTCCTGGTCTTCATGCTGGAGGTAAAGGTGGTGGCCTTGATTTGACCCATCCACACTGGCATTGTGTTCCAGGGAGTGAACTAAAATATGCTGTATCATTATGGGCTTCCCAAGCAATGAGTTCCTTTTACTCAGACCCAGGAGCAAAACAGACATGGCCACACCATAGAGTGATTTGACTCATGGTTTTTCAATTTAATGATGATACAGAAACAATACACATCTAGGAGAATCTACTTTGAACTTTGCCTGATCTTTTCCCAGGCTAAAAATATGCAGTCTGATTCTCTGTCAACCGTGCCGTGCAGCGGCAACAAGCAATAGCTCCCAGGAGCCATGAGCTGCACTGTATGCTAAGCTACGGTGTTCAGTGGCTGAGGTATATTACATGCATTTTGCGGGGGCGGGTACCAGGGATCAAACTCGGGACCTTGTGCTTGTGAGGCAGGCGCTGGAACCACTGAGCTAAATCTCCGGCCCGATTACATGCATTTTTGACTAAGAATATTTTTAACTTCTGATGAGTTTATCAGAACATGACCCAATCATAATTCCAAGAGCATCTGTGCTCTCATAAACAACTTTTATAAAAAGGGAAAAATAGGGCTGAGGATTTGGCTCAGTGGTTTCACCTCCTGCTGTGCAAGCACAAGGACCCGAGTTCGATCCCCAGTACCAAAAAAAAAAAAAAAAAACCAAAGGGAAAAATATAAACTTACACAGAAGCCTTTCTGTATATCTTGATTTATTTACAAAATAAATACTTTGTTTTTTTCCCATATGTTTTATGCAACCTGGGAAAAAAGTTCAAGTACACATCGCCAGAATTTTCCCTGTACTTGATTATGCTTATATAAAATGTCAGTAATTTTTTTTTCAAATATAGCTAATGCTGCTGATAGTACAAGGAAAAATATGGCCACCAATCATCTAAAAGCAAATCTTTGGGGAAAATTCAGTTAAAGTAGTTTCACAGGGAAATGTCTTCATATCCTGGTAATATTAACTATTTAGTAAATTTAACAGGTTAAATGTCAGCATCACTAGGAAGTTCTTCTAACAAGGAGCTCGTAAGGCAAAAATAGCATGTTCTCCTATAACAATAGCAAAGGCATTGAATTCTACCCATGGCTCCCTAATGGAATCAAATCATGTCCCACTTACTGGATTTCTCCTGCTTCTTGCTTTAAGACTAGAATGGACTCCAGGTGAAGCCTTGCTCCCTTCCCTAAAATTAGAACCTGTCTTGTCAATTCTTAGAGTAAATCCTCTTTAAATTCTATATCATGCATGATTCATTGTGTTTGTGTCTAGTGACTACATAGTAGGGCATCTGGCCTGAGGGGTGACAAGGTGCTTGGGACTTGATGGTGGGACTCTTCACTTTCCTGGT